CCATTGAAAAATTTGGTCGCATTTGGACCAAATTGGTTGCACTCCAGAGGCCTGTACAAGTCTGCTCAAAGAAGTCCTGCCATTAATTAATGCTTCAGTCTTAAATATGATCAACCTATCTCTAATAATCAGCTATGTACCACAGGCCTTCAAGCTGGCTGTAGTTAAACCTTTACTCAAAAAGCATCTCTAGCCCCAGCAGTCTTAGCTAATTATAGGCCAATCTCCAACCTTCCTTTCATATCAAACATCCTTGACAATTCTTTCAGTGGTGCAAGTTTCAGTCACTGTTAAAATGTCCTGTTTATATGGTTGAAACCTGCAGTCAGCTGAGACTGAATAAGTCACCTGATGCTGATGAAACATTTCTCCCACTGAAAATGTCCAGATGAACGCAGTCAACTTTAGGGATTTCCTTACTTGGAGCATGAGCGTGCATCAAGACACCACTGTGCGATGTAACAGGAACAGGAAGTGATACTGAGATACGAGGGTTTTGTTGACCAGTTGATGTACTCACATGTTACCTTGTTTACCTATTTATCTGTATTCGTGTTGTGTGTCCCTCAGTGTGTGCACAGAGATCTGGCGGCGAGGAACATTCTAGTGTGCGAGGGGAAGCTGGTGAAGGTCTGTGACTTTGGTTTGGCCAGAGACCTGCTGAAGGACCAGGATTACATCGCCAGGGGAAACGTTAGTTAACCAGTTCAGTCAACTATACTGAGGGCTCCTGACATCATCAGGTCAGGTGTTCACCTGTGCACCCACCTGTGTGTTTCAGAGCTTCCTGCCGCTGAAGTGGATGTCTCCAGAGAGCATCTTCCAGAACATTTACAGCTCGCAGAGCGATGTTTGGTCCTATGGAGTTCTGCTGTGGGAGATATTCTCTCTGGGTAACCCAGTCTGTCACACCAGTGTCCGGCAGCCTCGCCTCTGTCAGTGCGCCCCAGGGTGGCTGTGGCTACAATGTAGCTGCCATCACCAGTGTGTGAATGTGTGTGTGAAT